TAGCTCTCTACCTAGTGAGAAAGTAAAAAGCTGCTCCAATAACTTGAGCCCAAGCAGAAGTTCATATGAGTTAAAAACAAATATTGCAAAGTCTTATTAATTAGGAATTCTGGAATGATCATACAAACTGGAATGATCAAGGAAATTCATGAAACAGAAAAAAGACATTCTATTTTTAAAAAATTAATAGCAAAAGATGCTATTTTTTTTAAACAATTAACTCAGGCTGTTACCAAATTATATTCAAAGTATTTTGTTTCTTCAAAATATTTTATAGATTAGACTAATCTGTTAGTCATTAACTATTTATGATACAGCTACTATGCAGGTATTATGCCAGCATCTCAGGATAGTAACATAAGTTACAGGGTTTGTTCTTAATGATTTCCTCTTCCATTTGATCTGAGTTTGTGGATTCTACTGGACAGAGCAGAGCAATAAGCTGAATATAACAGTGAAATCTTCAAAATTAACTATAGAGCTCTCAATTCATATTTCTGGCATTATACTCCTAGAATGATGAAACAGATTAGAAATTAAATTCCTCTCTATTAAAAACTTCTAGTGTATGTCCAGGAAAAAAATACTTACCTAATTTTTTGATCTTTCCATCTATATTACTATGTACTGAGATATTCAGAATAATAAAGTTGAAATATTAAATACCTCCAATCATAAAAACACCTCAATAGTTAAGGAAAGAAAAAAGGACTGCAAAATTTAAAGGGGACTATATTTAAGACAGATTTTTACCAAAATTGAAAACTAAGAGTCATAACATAATTAAGTGAGTGAAAGATGCTACTTCCTTACGTTAAGTTCAAGGTTTTATACTTGCTGAATATTAAATCTCTACTATTAAACAAAATCTGACACTTACTGCCCTCCTCTTTCTACAAGTGTCTGGCAGAGGTACTTTCTTGCATTCCTGTGAGTTGGACAGTTTTCCAGTGCAAGCTCAAAATCTTCTATAGCTTTGTTCAGGCTTCCTTTTGTTGCATATCTAGAGATATAAAACAAAATTAGAGGAATTTATCTTGTGAGCTCTTCATAAATCTTGTACACATTTACCTTGTAAATATTTCTTAAAACCCATGATCTACTTACAATGCTCCACGAGCTACCAAAGCCTCCACATTTTGTTTGTCTATTTCCAGAGCCTTATTGTATTCATTCATAGCATCCACGTGGCGTCCAACTTTAAAATAATCAACTCCAATCTTCACACTAAGACGACATTTGGAAAGTATCACAAACATTTCACAGAACAACCAAACAGAATGTTAGCATGGATAAAGTTTTAAAGCAAATCAAATCTGGCTAATATTTAGCTTTCAATGTTCTCAATATACCTAAGAAGCATTGTGCCTTTGGATAATTTCAACAAATATTTATGAAATCCAGGTATCAATATACTAATTCCTTTGGGAAAAAATGAAAATGCTGACTAAAACTTATGTCTGTTAAGTTTACAACACAACACCATTTACACCTAAAGAACAGCTAATGTCAAAATGGTAGAATTTTAATTTATTTATAAACAAATTTGGTCTTGATGATGACATAAGAATGCTTGCCTTATCCTAACCTTTTAGACTAGATAATGCAATTGTTGAAAGACAAAGTCTTCATACCATTTTAAAGCCCAAGATGCAGACTGTTTCTTTCTTAACGCAGAAGCAAAATCGTCTTCAGAGAAATTTTTGCTATTAAAGAAAATAAAAGTCAAACCATATAAATACTTCTTCTGTAACTATACTTCACTCTGACAGATAAAAACTCAACACTGAAAATGTGAATCCCAAGCAAGAAATTTGTAACCTATCCACAAAACAAAATTCTTGATCTCTCAGGAATGACGATTATTGTTAAACGGTATTTTTCTTTAGCATATACACAAACTTCTTACAAATTTTCTGGATCTTTCTCTACTTAATCACAAGGTATACATCTATAAGAGATTCCATTCCAGAAGGAGTTGGGATCATTTAGTTCATTCAACCTTTGGCACACTGCTGCGACTATGCTTAGAACAGTCAAATATATCCCTCAGTTATGCAGGTTTTGAGCTCAGCACCATTCACCCCACTACTTAATGGAATAATACTGATTACTATACCTTTGTAGGCCTCTCATTAACGATGGTGGATTAGATTCATCTATTCCTAGTTTTCCTAGAAGGAATTCAACTACTCCTGGATTAACAAATCCCAAAGAACTCTCCATGATATTTTCATAGGATTCCAAAGAATTGCTATTTAGTTCAACACTCCTCCTTAAAAAAAAGATCACAAAAATATAACTAACATAATTAGCATGTCCCATTTCTATTAAAGAAATAACATTATCACATGGAGTTTAAATACTCATACATTTTTGTACATGAAGGTGTGGCAATATTATGATTTGGTTCCTTTTACCAAATTTGAAGAAATTTAAGGGTTATAAAGATAAAATGAGCATATTTTGAAATAGAAATTAAAATTCCACTTTGTTGTCAGAAGTTGGACAAAATTTGCTATTTTTTAGTCAAAAAACTGTTTTGCAACTAACTTTTTGAAATAATGTGGATAAATTACCTGTAGTACAAAGGAAGCTCTTCAGAACTAATTACACCTAATTTAATACCAGATAGGTGTGGTGGAAGAGATGAGCTATAAAGAGATACTGCAAGCTTTTCATGATATCTGTCAATATCCTTGATTCCAGCTTAAAAAAATAAGAAAACTAAGCTGATTAACAAGAAAATGCAAAGTAACATAAAAAAATAAACCTTTCCAAACACTATTCTCATTAGACTACATTTTCAAAATTAATAAAAACAAAAACCTGACAACTGTTACACTTTTATTAATATGATGAAACTGATCACCTCGAATGATGTCACCAGTTTGGTAATATGACAAAGGATCTCCGTGGTTACTGTGAGAAGGCACATCTCTTAATGGACAAAGAGCCTGCAATGAGAAGTATTTTAAAACACCAGACATTCCATTCTTTGGTGAGAAGTGTCTTCTTTTATCATAGTTGTTCAGTATGAACAGCTAATAGTTGACATGAACATTAAAAAACAACTAATACCCTAAAGTCTAGATTTAAATAAGGATTTAGTTATAAGCAAATTTCTGTGCCCAAACACAATAAAAAGAATTTTCTGGTTAAGTTCAAAAAGTAAAATCTCATGAAATGTGCAATATGTTTTAGGAGGTAAATGTTCAGTATAGATTATGAAACAAAAAGATACTTTGCACTTCTTAAAAAAAGTAATAAAAGAAAGTATGAAAATTCCAATGAAAATGAAATGTGAATTCTCCAAAGTTTATGTCTGTGACCCAGTCTGTGATCCTTTCAGCTTTTCTTCCCTGTTTATCTGCCTTGATAAATAGTAAACATTAAACCTTTTAAAGTGACACACTATTTCCAATTCAGGTTTATAATGTATAAATCACTTACATTTAATTATTGTAAATACATAAATGAGACAGGAATTTGTTTCTAAATTATCCACATCCAAGTATATAATGCCTAATACTAAATAAATAAGGACACATGCAGCTAGAAGAAATAAGCCTGGAATACCAATCGATCTCACCATATCCACTGATATCTCTTTGATATCATTTAGAAAAAGGACCCCACCCCTGCCAATCAAAGGGACCAAAAAACCCCCAAAAACCAGAAATGGGGGAAACTGTGTAAGTAACTCCATCACCACTAATAATTTTTTTAAAAAGGTACTTAATTTTTGTCTATTACTGCTTATTTCTCAAGATTACATCAGCAGCACACACTTAAGCATACCTGTATGCAAAAAGACATAATTCTTGCATTGAGATGACTCTTTATCAAAAACAGAAGCAATCAAATAACTGCAAAGTAACTTACTGTGATTTCTAAGTGGGATATGTCTCTCATGATGCCACTGCCTAAACATATCAACACCATGAAAAACCCAAACTCCCGAATGGAACTAATTCGTCCAATCACTATATCACCACGCTCAATATCTCGAAAAAACAACTCTCTCCGGTCCATACTAGGTATCTCCATGAACTGCTCCAAAGGTGGCATGATTGCATAATGATCTGAAAAAATAATTAACAAAATTACTAACAATAGCTTTGTGTCCTGTTTCATCAGAAGTGCTGTCAAACCAAACCGCAATCAAAAGATTTTAAGATTAAACTCACCTTCATTGTCTTCATTAACTTCAGAAGTTGCGGGAGCATCTGATTTCCAGGAAAGTGCAAAAAGCAGATCCGCCTTTTTGGAAATGAATTTTTGTATTTCAGTGTTGTCAACTCTCTTCTCTTTTCTTAAAAAGAAACAAAATTTATGAAAACTGGTACATGTGCAAAACCTATCAGTATTGCAAGCTCCTGCTCACGGCTATACACATCGCCCGATCAGGTCCATTTTAAGCTCCTGACTGTACATCCTCCGAGACAAAGTTTTAACCAGGGATTCTCTCACTCCCCAGTCTCTAGGTGGAGGGCGGGGAAACTTAAAAAGTGACGCCCGCAGCGCCAGATACGAAAGCACAAGGGGTTTTAAGCTAAAGAATCCGCACCACCGCTAGGCAGTACCAGAGAAGTTGTTCAGCCCGCATCCCGCACTGCCTCACACCCGGAGAGCGGACCCTCCTCCTTCTAGCCCTCCGCACCGGCGCCGCAGTCCTCACGTGCTCACGGCCGCGGCCCCGCTGCTTCTGAACTCAGCCGCCCGGCTGCGGTAACGAGGCCCCGAGCTGCGTCCCCTCCCCCGTCTCGCAGCGGCGCCGCCGTCCCATTACCTGCCCTGTAACTGCTGCTGGGGCGGCGGGCCCCGGGCAGGCTCGGCCCCCGACCCCAGGAGACTCCGGAAGTGCGGATTGTCCTGCTGTTCGCTCCGGAGCAGGGACAGCAATGACGGCCCGTGGTAATTCAGGGACTGCCGCAGGAGGTCCCGGTCCATGGCTAGAGATTACTGAGCCCAACGATCGGTGGGCTGCTGGCCTCCCCGTTCTGTGCCCACTACTTCAGCCCCGTGGTCCCGGAGGCTGAAGAAGCAGCCTGGAATCCGCCGGAAACCTACATCACGAACACTTAGAGCGGCCTCCCGGAAGTGTCCCGGAGCCACCCGAGTCGCGGCGCCGCGGAGCTCAGCCTAGGTCTCACGAAATTGAACGAGACTACGGAAGCCGGAAGGATTGGGCTAAGAGTTTCCTGGGTTAAGCATTTCCTGAGTTAAGGACTTTGTACGGTCTCGAGGCGGTGATGTATGTGAGAAGTTTGCATTATTAAAATTTCCATAGTGTTATTATTCCATTGAAATGGCCCGAGCTCTAATCTAGGGTAAATAATAATTCATCTTCCTGTTTAGTGAGGTGCTTCTAAGTGCCGGTGCCCCAAACGAGTTACAAAGGTTCTTCTCTCAAAGTACTCGCTGGATAAATCACACCTACCTCTGTGGCATAGCCGCGTTAAACGACTGCTCTGGGAGATTTTCTGATAGGCTACAGAGCAGAAAAAAGGAAGGACGCTGACTTTTGTTAAGCAGTGGACTTGTGTTCTCCATCCCTGCTCCATTCAGTGTTCGTGATTTTAGAGTTAACTTAAAACCAGAATGACTTTAATGCCTAGACGTATGCATATATACATTCGTTTTTATTTCTTTAGTTTATCCAAGTGATTTCTCAAGATTTAGTGCCTGTAAAATTTATATAGTGTTGCGTACACTAATATCAATATACTATGCTTATGGGTAATTCCAGTGATTTTCAAAGGTACTTTTGATTTAGGCTTTTTTTCCTCCATGCTGATTTGAGAACCTAAACACTGTCCCTCATTATACTCTCATTTTAGAGATGGAGGGAACAGGCCCAGAGAGTCTCAGTAGATTGCTCAATGTCACCCAGCTGGAAAGAGGCTAGAGTCTTCACAGGCACAGTTGCTGGAGAGTATTTTTATTATATAGAAGGGTCTAACTAACTCTAATTTTGAGATAATGTGGCTTTGTTTTATTTCAATATGTTGACATCTGTACCACTTAAATATACGTAGTTTATTATGGTCCTCTTGAACAAAAATAAATGGTGGCATTTATTCTGCCCCCTCTCTAGCCACATGTCTTTGGGGAGATCAGTTTGCCCTTCACTGTCCAATCACTTGGATAGAAGACCCAGCCCACAATATAGTGTATGTCTCCACACTATTTTGTGAAAAATCCAGGCAAATAGGTAAATAGTTTATTGAGACTTGAGAAAATGCCAGAAAGAAGAATGCAATTTTAAAAGATGATAAATTTCAAGCCACTCTGGGCACATCAGGAAAGTTTAATCAATAGTACAGACTGATTTGTGTTAAGCTATAACTCTAGAGGATGGCTGCTATTAGGAAAGAGGGTGCTGTCACTGAAAAGGAAAGCTGACCAGTAACAATGAACTATATAAACATTCTGGTAAAGAAAATATGTGATTTTACATAGAGTTGATCTGTTTTTAAGGATCTGATTATCTCTGGAGGGACTGAGAAGCCCAGCATCTGAGAACCAGCTGCCGGACAGTGGCACTTAGTCTGCGAATGCCGTCTTGTGAGGCCATTCTTGAGTAGCACATGCCTTCATCACTCTGGGATCTGTCAACGCTTTTTCCTAATTCCAACACCAGAGTAACCTCCAACCACCCCATATCTTGAACATGTAAAATTACCTTGGTAAGGCCATGAAAACAGGAGGAAGTAGCTGCTTTTAGAGAGTAAGCGGCATTCATCAAGAGTGACATTTATCAAACGCTTGCTGTATACACAGTAGTGACAGAAAAAATAAACTTTAAGCAAATGTAATCAGAACTTAGGCTGGAATTTTCTATCTTTGGTTGGTGCTGACCTTAAATGGAGGCAGTCACAGTAGTTAAGTGCCATAGGCAGCCTTGTTCTTCACTTCTCAGGTACCACCCCACAGCAGGGGATTAAGCCTTTTACAATAGCAGGTGGATTTGAATTTGTTTTCTGCTGGCATAGATACCCTTTGACTTTGAAGGAGACGGAGCACTGGATCTTTGATGTAGGACTGAAGGGAGTGAGGAGAGAAAGTGAGGGGACTAGTTTTGCTTCTCATCTTGGCAAAACTAGTTCCCAATATGGGGCTTCTCAAGGTGGACGTAGAAAGAAAACACTTTTTTTCATGTTTTGCTTAATTTTTTGTTTACTAGTTTGACCTTTTAAAAAAATCTTTAAAAAATCTTTTCCAGATAACGTTTCCAGATTAAGCAGTATGAATAATTAAGCGAATATATGAGAGGGAAGAGAGGGCAGGGCATTCAAGACAGTCAGATCTTTGGTGTCTGGATGCTGGGCCTATTTTTATTGTCATGTCAAATTCCATTTCTAAATAAACACATACGTACATCTTTTAACTCCCTAGGCCCTGGAGAAAGAAAGATGAAGAAAACACCTGATTCTTGAGTGGTACATGGTTTAATAGAGGAGTAGAGGTAAGAAGAAACAAATATGGCATAGTGGTGAGTACTATTGCTGTAGACACCTAGTAGGTGTCTGCTTTGATCCCTTTAGCCTGGGTAATGAGGTAGTGGAGTTGATGGGGATAAGACAGGAGAGGAGAAGGCAAGTATGTGTCTTCCAGCAGAAGGAGCAATACAATTGAATAAGTAGAGATGTGAAAAAGCAAGATCCATTCGAGAGACTGCAAGTGTGAAATTGAGGTAGGTAGGGGTATTTTACTTATGAAAAGTTTAGTTATGCAAGTGTGTCATTTCAGGTAGGCTATAGATTTGTGGGAAGAGACTTCCTGTCTCCTGCATGAGTACACACACACACATACACAGATTAAATGTCTGATTTATTTAGCAAAGAACACAAAAACTTAGCCATAGCAAGGTAGCCACATACAGCAGGGGCAAAAACAGCATATCTGAAAGTAGCTTTTCTTGGATCCCCCAAGTTTCCCAAAGTAACATGTATAGCTGCTAGTGACGCCGTATGCAAAAGAGAAAGTCTATCTGGATCTCAGAAACTTGTATATTACCATTCAGGAAGGACTTACACAAATAATCTATGACTATATGAGAAATATTTGTAGACAGATTCTTTTTGGTTCTTGACTCTGATGTAAACAATTTCAACAAAGCTTCATGCTGTCTGGGGTTACAGGTGGGATGTGCGTATCAGGAAAAGGTGGGTAGAACTGAATAAGACCCTAGAAGTATGTTAATACTCTTCTATTTAATTTTCCAGCATTTCTTTTTTCCTCCCTCTTTTTTTCTTAAAAAAAAAAATCCTTTTTGTTGTCTAAGCCAGCTTGAGTAAATTTATGGTTTAGAACCAAAAGATTCTTAACTAATTACACTAAGAAGCCACCAACTAGTAGCCTCTGCTTTTTCTACTCTGTCATTTTAAAAATGAAGAATCAGATATGGAGAGGTTGATAATTTGTTCAAAAACTAACCTTAGAATCCACATTATCTTACCATATATCTAGTACTCTTTCTACCCTGCCACATGGTTTGGAGGATCAGCTGAAACTATGCTCCTTGAGGATATAGTCTGTAAATATGTATGCATGGAACTTATTTTATTTAAAAAATATGTTATTATGTTGACATATAAAGATAGCCTTGAACCTTTTTTCCTATAGTGGGGCTACTTGGTTTCATTCATAGGCGTATGGTGCAAGAGGTTTAGATTACAGCTTTGGTACATATGACGAGGAAGAATGGGGAATACTATGCGGAAAGTATGGCTAGATCAGCCCAAAATCCATCTTTATTATTAGAAAAATAATTCAGACTACAAACCCTTCTGACAAGGGTTGGTACATCTTCATTCATCCAATAGTCTTTGTTTGAAAGGATTCCACCACCTTCTCTTTTTACTTTTCATATCATAGACCAACACCTCTTCAAGAAGAAAAACAGTGTCAGTCTAATATTTATCCACTTGAGGGTGCTATAAGATCATTATGGGTATCACATTTTTCCACCTTTTACCAGAAAACCTACTGCCAACTAAACAAGGATTCAGGGATGGGGAATTGTGACCTATCATATGGTTATTTTAAGATAGTTGTGTCTCTTATACCTCCTCTATTTTCTAGTTACTGGTAAATGTTTTGAGGACTTTATGTTAATGTAAATCAGTTCGTATCTCATTGTCTAATATTGATTGTCAGTAATTTTGAATTACTTTTTCCAAGAGAAAGATCACTGATTTCAGTTCCAACCTAGACCAGTTAGTTCTGAACAGACCCAGGGGTGAACACTACACAACTCCAGGATAGGGTAGGGGTGGTGTTGTTGGTACACTGGCGTCATAAAAAATGTACGGTGTGGGCAGCAGTCCCAGAGATGTGCAAATGCTTGACCATACGCAGTGGCCATCTGCAGTGCTATTATCAGCCAGCCATTTTTTCCATGTTTGTCTTTGTTTACAAAAAACTTGGAAATAGAATGAGGATATTTCAGAACAAATCCATCATGATTGCTGAAAAAAAAAAAACAGCTGAAAGATGTATATGATACTGACATGGAATAGGCCAGTGTGCTTATCTTCAGGTACTATGTCATGACTGCTTATAAAGACACAACCACATACACACACACACACATGCATGCACGCTCGTGCACATGCTGCTTAGATTTCATTTTATGGTAGTTTCTCAGAATACTATGCAAGGGAACATGTCAAGATTATAACAAAGAAAAATTGACAGTTTAATTGATGCTAAATACAGTTGTCTCCTGGTATCCATGGGAGATTGGTTCCAAGAAACCCCTTGGATACCAAAATCTGTGGATGCTAAACTCCCTTATATAAAATGGTGTAGTACAAAAAATACAGTGGGCCTTTGATATCCATGGTTCTACCAACTGTGCATCAAAATTTCAATTCGATTGAATCTGTGAATGTGAAACTTGTGGATATGGAGGGCCAACTATAAATAGTATTCCTTGTCAGTACCTTCTGGATTGGTTTGATACCCATTTTAGGTGAAGTTTGGACATTTTTTGAAAAAGAGTAATTGATCATCTTTTAATTACTAAACAATAACTCCTTTATGTTTTATTGATGGCAGCACCAAAGAATTTCAGAGACTGGAAATGTCTTATTGGTTTAGTATGTATTACCCTTCTGAATGGAATCCATTGGAAGATCCAGCATATCTGGGTAAAGATTTAACTTTGATTCTACCCACTTTATTTATGACATTCGATTATTGGTAGACATAGAGTGGTCAAATTTCCAAATGCAGTTAATTAAATGAATGAATGAATTAATTCAGCAAATATTTGTTGGGGGTTAGGCACTGTTTCAGATGTTAGGAATATAATAGTGAAAAAAATAGACCGAGATTCCTGCCTTCATGGCGCTTATATTCTGGTGGAGGGAGACAGACAACAAGCAGCAAACATAATAAGAAAGTAAATGATGTAGTATATTAGAAAGTGATAAACCCTATAGTAAAAGAAGCAAAGCAGGGTGAGAGGCATTGGAAGTGCAGAGGGGTGGCTGTAGTATTTTAAATAGAATGGTCAGGGCAGGTCTCATTGAGAAGATGACATGTGAGCGAAGACTTGAAAGAGATGAAGGAATTAGTCATTCAGCTTGTGTGGGAGAAAGGAGTTAGAGGCCGAGGGAACAGTCAGTGCAAAGGTCCTAAGGCAGGAAGGTACTTGATGTATTGAGTAACAGCAGGGAAGACAGTGTAGCAAGCAAAGAGTGAGCACAGAGGTGCAGAGTTTGTAGGCTATTGGAGGAGCTTGGCTTTTACGCTTGGTGGAATGGGAGTCACTTCAGGGTTTTAAGCAGAGAGGCACATTATGACTTTCATTATAAAAAGGATCACTTTGGTTGCCATATAGGCTGGAGTTAACTAAATAACTATTGCTCATAGTTGAAAGAGAAAGGATTCATAGAAGGCTAAATAGCTCTTATTTCTTAGGAAACATAATTTCATTTAAAAATTTACCTATCAATTGCATGGAATGAGAATATGAAATTTCAACTCCTATATGAGATTAAGAGTGTGAGCAACTGTTGTCCCTAGGTATCCAGTGGGAATTGGTTCCAGGAACCCCCATGGATACCGAAACCCACAGATGTTCAAGTCCCTTATATGAAATGGTGTAGTACAATGAATACATATTACCGTCTGGTCGGGAGTTATCACAGTGGAAACAGTTTAGCCCAGGAGTTCCAGCTGTGTTTTGGGGGCAGATCATCTAATCTCCTAAACCTCTCTTGTCACCTTTAAAACTAAGGGATTAGACAGAATGAACTTTGAGATCTAATCCTTAGTGTTCTTATGATCAGTGATGAAAATAGTCCAAGTGCTGAAACTTCATGTCTTTCTTTAAGCCCCTGTGCTTCCGCCCCACTACCGCCATGTGCATATGAAATGATGGCTGGAGAGGTACCTTTAGGGAATATCTCAGAGTTGTTAACAGATTACTTCTTTAGGTGGGGTCCAGTATCATTGATTGTGTTTCAGCTTAGGTTATAATCATATTCTAATCATTTTTCTCTGTGTCTATACTGTAGTCACTCTGGAATTGTGTGTTTCTCAAACTCTCCAGCCTCTCACTCATGTTTTCTTTTCTGCTTGTAATCATTCCACAGATGGTGATTCTTGTGCATTGTGCTTTAGTCTTTCTGGGTTTCACTTTCTCAGAAGGGAATCTAATTTTCAAGTACAGGAGGGCTCCATTCTTTGCCCTAAAAAATTCACTATAAAGCCCCTTATGGGGGCTGGCCCTGTGGCCGAGTGGTTACGTTCACGCGCTCCGTTTCACCGGCCCAGGGTTTCACTGGTTTGGATCCTGAGCGCAGACATGGCACCGCTCATCAGGCCATGCTGAGGCGGCATCCCACATGCCACAACTAGAAGGACCTACAACTAGAATAGTTGGGGAGAAAAAGCAGGAAAAAAAAAAAGAAGATTGGCAATAGTTGTTAGCCCAGGTGCCAATCTTTAAAAAAAAAAAAAGCCCTTTATGATCTGGTCTCTGCCTACGTATCCTACCTTGTTTTCAGTCCTCTCCATCAATCGTCAGGATTCAACCACATAGATTTTCTGATATTTTCTAAGTACTCCCAAGTTTTCCCCACTTCGGAGCTTTTGTATTTGCTGTTTTCTAAAATTCTCTTCCCTCACTTTTCTTTATTTTCTTTTTATCTTCAAGATTCAACTTAAAGGTGGCCTCTTCCCTCTCATAACGCTCCTTTTCTTTCCATCCTAACAGTTATCGTAATTTATTTCCTTAGTGGTTATTTGTCTTCCCCACTAAAATATGAGATCCATGAAGGCAGGGCCATATCTGTCTTGTTCATGACTCTGTACTCAATAACTCGCTCAGCACCTCGCACATATCAGGAACTAAATAAATATGTTTGAGTGAATGAATAACTATGTACAAATATTTACATGTAGATATCACACAGAGTAAGCGATGGGACATAGTATGTCATATATGTAACA